CCCCCCCCCCCCCCACGGCACATTCTCGCAACAAAAAGCCAACCACGTAGAAAATTAAAAAATAGTTTAAATGAATCCAAAAACATAAAGGAACTACTACCGTCGAAACTTTATGAAATCGCCTGTATCTTAGTCGTCACGTGTTGCTATCGTGTCCAAATGCCAAACGTTATCTCTAACGCTTACAGTCACTATCAGTTGCTGGTAACACCCACTATATAAACTTCGGTGCCCGTCACACGAGGGTTGCATCTGCCCCCCGCGTCCCGTATTTGGGTGAGGCTAGCCGAGTGTTTACCTTTTCGCCGCGTCCCCTCGACACCCACAGCCGCAGCCCAAGCAATAACCTAACCACAAGAAACCACTCGAAAGACCCGCCATTTCCACCTCGAATGGAGTCGGACCCGTTGCTTGCGAGAACTCCTGGCACCCAGCCGCCGTCGTCGGCGCGTCCGGTGGATATCCGCCGCCCATCCCACTCGTTTTTGGACCAGCCGATGGGGTCTTTCAAAGGGCCGAATACCCTAGGAAACTTCGCCCAGTCGTTCACCAGAGCTCAGCTGTTTGCAGCGCTGTTGGTCGACAACGAGATCCACCGCCAACGGTCGTTTTTCGACCCGGATAACTCGGTTTTCGAGGACGAGTTGGTCGACCCGGACTACTTGGTGCCGCTGGTTCGGGGCCAGCGGTTGCTGGTGGTGCTGCGCCAGCTGCTGATGATCCTGCTGCTTAAACACACCGTGGATGGCGTGGTTTTAGTGCAAGGACAGAGCACGGCGCCGCAAACGGTGTTTAATCTGATTAACGTTCTCATTGGTGTTGGGCTTCTAGCGCTTCCTGTGGGCTTATTGAAAGCAGGCTGGGTGTGGGGAGTGCCTATCCTCTTGATGTGTGGGCTAGCGACGTGGTCTAGCGCTAAACTCTTGTCTAAAGCCATGGACACCGACCCCACGATTATGACCTATGCCGACTTGGGCTACGCCAGTTACGGTGCGGCAATCAAACTTTTAATCTCGTTGATCTTTTCAGTCGATTTACTTGGCGCCGGAGTGGCTCTCATCATCCTTTTCAGCGACTCGCTCGCGGCGTTGTTTGTTGACTACGGCATTTCCCATACCAAATTCAAGCTCTTGGCGTTTGTTGTTCTCACTCCGTTCACGTTTATGCCCCTCCGCGTACTCCTGTTCTTCTCATTGTTGGGGATATTGTCTACCATCACCATCACCGTGCTTGTCGGTGTATGTGGCTTAGTCAAATCGACGCTGCCTGGTTCGCTTCTTGAAGCTATGCCTACTAACTTGTGGCCAGAACTGACTAAAGATCTATTATTAGCATTGGGGATCCTCATGGCTCCGTTTGGTGGCCACGCCATTTTCCCCAACCTTAAAAGTGATATGCGCCACCCGTACAAGTTTGAGCTGACATTGAACTATACCTACTTGGTGACGATGCTTGCCGACTGCTCGATGGCGGTGGTGGGGTTTATCATGTTTGGCCCATTGTGCAATAACGAGATCACCAATAATATTTTGTTGACGGAGGGGTACCCGAAATGGATGTACCCGTTGATCACGGGCCTCTTGTGTATTGTCCCGTTAGCCAAGACGCCACTTAATGCCAAACCCATCATTCTGACACTCGAACTGGTCTTACTCCCCCAAACCACCACCACCAATACCACTAATTTCATTACCAATGTGGGTTCGGCCGCTATTAAAATCGGCGTCAACGCTGCGTTTGTCGCCTTGGCGTGCTTATTCCCAGAATTCGATAAGATCATCGGCATGTTGGGGGCGCTGATCTGCTTCCTTGTCTGTATTGTGTTGCCTGGTCTCTTCTACTTGAAGTTGTGCACTCCTACACGATTTGAAGCGGTGATGGTTAAGGCAGCGGTGGCATTGGCGTTGGTTTTGGGGACCGTGGCCACTTTGGCAGTACTCACCCTGTAAATCGCATCACCAATAACGATATGGTACTGGTGGCCATCAAATAAGAAATTCACGAAAATCATGAAACATAGTAAATACTCTAAGTATAGTAAATACTTTAAAAAAAAATTCAATTCAAATCTCTGGTGGTAGTAATTGAGTGAGTTGTCCGCATTTCTCACAAAATTGGAAGTCATGTCTAAGTTCATTAAACTTGATAGCACCACCCCTCTGATTATACTGTAATGACATTTCAATTATATGATACATCACATTTACTACTTCGATCCACGGAGTTATCGCTGGATTCAAATGTTCTACTCTCATTCAATAGAACATATAGTTCTCAACAAGGGCTACACCACCGCATCTACACACCACGAAAACAGCTATACACTCAAAGTCAAAACCAATTAAAAAACACGATTAAACTCCAACAATAATCACACTTCTTTACTATAACTTTAGCTTCATTAGTCGGGTGTTGTCGCGCTACCATTTTATTTCCCATTGGCCAGCGCGCATTACTTTGCTCATTTTCCATTGGCTACTCTCCTCCAGTACACCATGTTTGCCAGAACCGCCCACCGAAGCGTCGTCCGGACCGCCAAGCGGTACGGCTCCAGCTCGTCCCACGGCAACCACGACGTGCCCCCGAGAACGTTCGAGTTCAACATCACCAAGGTCTTTGCCGTCGCCGCCGTGTTGGGTGGCGCCTACATCTTCAAAAACGACCGCTTCGCCAAGCCCGCCGTCGAGACCAAGTTGTACAAGGAACAGGCCGACGGCACCAGGGACCACTTGAGAAACGAGAACTTTGCCCAGAGATACGACGTGTCGTTTATCAAGGAGTTTATCCGCGACAAGGGCGGTGTGGGCCAGCGCCAGTACCGCCGCGTCGCCGACGGCGCCGCCACTCCCACCACGTTGATCAACGCGTCGTCCGCCTACCGCACCGAGTTTGGCGCCGGGATCAAGACCGACGAGTTGGGCCCGAGACAACAGCGGATCCGCATCTTCGCTGACAACTAGAGAGGGGGACGATTAGAATTGCATAATACACGTAACGATAGACAGGAGTAGAAAGACAGGATGGCGTCCATTTGATTCAAAGTTGACACGAGTTTCTTTTATGGCAATCTCAGGATTATCGTTGAACCAATTATGTATCCAGGTGTTTGGGATATTGTAAGGGTCGAAGGGACTTCCAGACACTGCCTTTAAAATTGCCGACTTGACTACTCTCAATGCCAAAATGATGACTATGTGGAGAATTGGTAGCAGCATGACAATGGCTTCAACATATGATAAACTCCAAAAATTGCCGATTGGAGTATTAGACTTTCTGGGTCAACTGTGATGCTTGAAGAAGTTATAGGCCAGGCACTTTCACTTGCTTTGGTAGGTTGGCGAGCAGTTGGAAGTGTTGACAGTCCATGTCAGTTTGGCGTGTATAGTTGGCTGGGAAGCATCAACGATATCAATTGAAGCGCACCCTTAAGTATTGCAGTCCTGAATATAAGCATATCATTCAAAGAACCTTCCCCTCATTCCTCTCCTTATCGTCTACAACAGCTTGCCCTGACCGCTGTAAAATTATTTAAGCTGGAGCGTCACCAGTTTCCAGTGGTGAGCATTGTTCATTTTCATTTATTTGAAGAAGCTAGTAACCATTTGAACATCCATGTATCTAAATCTGAAGGCTACCAGCTAGTCTCAAAAACTGTTTCGTTTTGTTGAAGAATCTGTCGTTTTGACGAGTAGGTTACTCGAAGACAACTGTGCAGGACATTGTTTCAGCGTCGCGTCATGGCAGCAGCCGTCAACAGCGTTACTACGTCTTCTCTAGCCGGCTATACACATGTCTAGGTCACTGCTACAATCGTAAATCACGCTTATTAAATAGCATTACTACTCAGACTAATCGTAATTACACTGACCCCACCCTGAGGCCATGAAGATGTCGAGGGCGTTCAAACACGAGTCGAGCTTATCCTTCCAGCAACTGACAATGGGGTTGTCATCAATGATATATTTATCCTTATCGGCTTTATATAAGTTCCAGTTGCCGTTGCCGTCAGGCGTAAACACCAAGTAGGTGCAAATCAATGGTGCGAGGGTCGCAATAAACGTCGGAATGAATGACAAGCATTCGTATTCTAACGCACTTAATGCTACTAGTGCCGTTCACGGATTCACCAAAGCTCAATTGATTCCAGTTATGACAATCTCCTAAGTAATCGTGGGAGCCGTAGAGTTTATCAATCACTGAAACTACGGAGATGACACAATCCCATACCCGACTGCGTTCCCCAGGTTGTCTCAGGGGTACACATTAAAGGTCACGAGCACATTATAATGCAAAGACAATGATTTCTCCACTTAGTGTCAATAGTAAGTGAAGTGCTCAAATGAGTAGCCTCAATCAAACTATCACTTTAGACTACAAATTGCTGTTTAATTTAATGGCAATTGAAAAACTTACCCTGAGAATGATATCAGTCCCAATCGTCTATCTTTATTGTACAGGAGGGTTTGTACAGGTGTGTAAGCCGCTGTGGCTTCTAATGGCCGGCTGCGGGGGGTCTATGTATGGTTCTGGTGGTGATATCGGCGGTACTTGTTTGTCGGGGCGTCGTGGGGGTTGTCGGCGTGCAACCGGTACTCGAACAGCACCCCGAACACGCGCTCGTTCAGCCCCAGGTCGACGGTGTCGACACAGTCCAGCCCCTGGGCGATCAAGTCGCACTCGCGGATCACGCGAAGGATGGCGTCGCAGATCATGCGGCGCCCTTGGAACAGCAGCAACTTGTCCTTCTTTTTGAAGTTGAGGTTCAGGTTCCACACGGAAATGATGTCGTCGTCCTTGCGCACCGAGAGCACCACGCCGCAGATGTCGCTTAAAAGGGCTTCGGCGACGTCGGCGTCGACGGTGTCGGGGATGAGCAGCCCCGTGAGCGTGCGCAAGAGGAGGCGCTCCCAGATCAAGTTGGTGCGGCGGCGGATCGCGAGCTGGTGCGCCGAGAGGCTGGCGTCGCCGTCGGGGGAGTCGCCGCCGCTCTGGCTGCGGCGGTTGAAGCGGAACACCCACCGGCCGCCCTTGGTGTTGACGGGGTCCTCCCACACGGGGGCGATCCCCGCTTTGAACACGAGGAGCTCGGTGCCGATCACCAAGTCGTGCCCGCGCTTCAAGCACGCCATCGCCATCCACATCTGCTCCACCAGGCCGATGACGACCAGCGCGCCGGCGCCCTCGCCCTTGACCACGGGGAACAGGATCTCCTCCGTCCGCTGGAGATACAGGTCGACGGCGGGCTGGCCCGAGTCGTCCTTCTTGCGCGTGCGCAGGTGGAACCACACCGTCCAGCAGAACGGTAGCACGTGGTGCGCCGGCGGTATTCTCGCTAGGGTGTCGTGGGCGATCTTGGCGGGGTCTCGCTTGGGGAGCTCCACCGGCGGCGGCTTAGCGGCGGCGGCGGGAGGCGCGCTGGCGCCGCTGGTGGTGGCGGCGCCGCCGCCGTTCTGGTTCATGATGCGGTTGAATAGTGACTCGGCCCGTTTCAAGTTCTCACTCATAGTTCATGTATCGGGGGTCGGGTATGCGGATTCGGTAATGGCAACTGGGGGGCGGGGAAATGGGGGGAGTGGTGGGAGCGGTGGTGGTGCTTTGGGTAAATGTGAGTGAGGCCAAAGGGCAAATTTTTCGTGCGAAGAGGGCGCCGAGTGGCGGGTTAAAAGGGTGGTGATTCGGGGAAAGGAGGGGAGTAGAGAACAAAATAAAGGGACGTGAGAATTGTAGAGGTATCGTTTGGTCGGTTTGACGTCTTTTTGGACGTAATTTCGGCGTGTAGCGCTGACAGCCGTGGCATTGTCGACGTCTTGCTATTTAGTGTCCGCGCGCGAAGAAAACCTTAGCTGGCGCCGTAGCGTTCGCGGTGGCTGGTGAGTCACGTGACACACACCTTAACGAAGAAAGATTTGTGTAGGTTGACTGAGCCACCGTCTAAGACATCAACCCTCAGAACCCATCGAGTCACAAGACTAATACTAAAAAAAAAAAACACAATAAACCCCAGGTTTTCGAAACAATAGCGACAGAAGATGAAGTAGAAAACATACCACATTAATCAACCATCAAAAAAAAAAATTAAATTGATTCGATGAGTTGATTAGCTAGCTGGTTCCATTGAATCATTCACTCTAAATAAACGTATTTCGTTTAGTTTTAGACACGCCGAACTTCGTGAGGGGCTCGTGAGGGGTTGATCTTTTTTCTTTTGACATGATGAGCCGAAGATTTATTCGTATCGCCGAGCGCACCACGCAAAATTCACATGCCGACTCAACCCTAAATTGGTCTCGGTCAGGCAGCGCAGGTGGCAGGCAGCGCACGCTCCCCTATGTGTCTCGTCCACGCTGCTCCGGGGATCGCTTTGCGCTTTTTGAGGGCGGCGATTCTGTGGCCAATTTTCCGAGCATCTCCCGTTTTTGTTTTTGTGGATAACGCCGAGAAAGCCACACTTATCCGGGGTACTAGGCTAGGAAAGGAGGGCCTGTTCCACGTAGAGAAGGTGACGTGTGCTTCGGGTCGCAACTGGCTAAATGTGTCCCGTTTAATCTTAGGGGGGTCATCGCTCGCAATCGGACTCCAGCGAAAGCCTCGCCCAACCTCGCTTGACGCCTGAATAGAACTGTGGCTGCTATACGCCATATGCCATAAACACCCTGACTCGGGGCCGCAGCTAATCCCCGATGCGGTGATTAGCCGCCCAGCATGGTGACACTTGTTCGGTGGCAGACAGGGTGTCTGGTGACTAAAAGACGCTTGCAGTGCGCCCTGCACTCTGCACCCGCTGCAGCACCGCCAAATAGATAGCACCGTTATCGTGGGCGCCTCCCGACACGTTCCAGGCCTCGCCAGCACCTCGGTTAGCTATTTACCGATCGACACTACGCCCTGCAGCAGGCGTCTCGTTGACATTAACCACTCTAAAACCCCGATACTGCTAGTGGTCGTGTGACGTCACGACCGAGGCAGCAAGCGAACCCCGGACCTCCACATCGTCAGCACCTTCAGTACGGCGGGACCGGGGTATCTGCACGGGGTCCCGTGCTCATTGCCCGGGGCTATGTGACGTGGGGCGACGGAAAAATGCCTGGCGTGTATTGTGTTTAGGACAATAGGCCCTGGCCATCGGCGATACGAACCCGGTCGTGTGATGAGTAGCCCAAACGGGGTTGGCGTCGGCTTGAGCGATTTGCTCCACCGACAGTGGGTTTTTCCTTTGCAGCCAGCACCATGACGATGGCTTCGTCTTTGTGGATTCGTATGGCAGACACCATCAATTGAGTAAATAATACCCAAATTGTGGTCGTAGGGTTTCTCCGATTGCCACCGATCTCGAGAGATTTAAGGCAGTAGCTACTGAAATAATGAATGTCATTGGAATGACAATAGTAGACTGACTAAACTGAATATTCAGGCATATGGGTTAGTCATTGGTGATAGCTCCATTCCTTATTCTTGATGATAGACTCATATAGGCTCTACACTTGTTTTCTTTATTTTGGCTAATTAGCCTTTACTACAATGTTATTATTGTTAACAGATAAAGTCTCTACACTCATTTCCTTAGTTATTGGTATTAAAAGTGACTATATAGTCAATGCAGTCGTTATCGTCATTATATCAAAGTGCCCCTACTCAAATAGGGACTATACGTGGGGGGCCATGATCACTGCCAGCCAGATGCAGCAGTTCACCACCACCGTGAACGACGCCCACACCACGTACTGGTGGAACGCTCGGGGGCGGGTAAACCGCGAAAGCAGCAAGTTGATCGCCACAAGCAGAAAGATCACACTAAGCAACATCCCCAACACCATCACCACGACAATGCCCATATTTTCACGGAGCAACAAGTCCTGCCCTTGCGGGAGCGTGGCGAAAACCGCGTAAACGATGCCCAACTCGATGGTGGCAACAAAAATCGCTAAAAACGCGAGGGAAAAGTAGACGTGGGAGTACACCTGGTCGTAGTCGTGCTGGAACTGTTCCACCACATAATTACGCCCCAAAAAGCCTTCCTCCTCGTCGACCAGGCCGTAGCCGCCAGCACCAAAAACGTCAGGCTCAGTTAAAAGAGGTGGCGGTTGAGGTCGCCATTGATGGTTCCATTTAAGGACACGAACCACTACCTGGTTCCACACCAGTGGTTGAAGCAGTTGCATTCTGAGAAGCATGGCGTAAGCGTCTTTCGGCCCAGCTTCTTCTAACAACTCGTCAGTGCCGTTAGTATCGTAATCGTCGTCATTATCGAAAACAGAAGGGGTCAGAGTGTGCGAACCCACAGACCCCCCCATCAGCCCGAGACTCAGCTGATGCTGCCCATTATAATAATAGCCACCGTGGGTGTTATTCTGGCTCAACTGGCGCTTGATAATCATCTCCAGCCGCGCCTTGATAATCAGGTGCTCCTGGCGCAACTGGTGGGTGAACTTTTGCACATTTTCCGCATTTTTTAGTAAGTTGAGCCCCAAGAGCCGCAGGTAGTGATTGTTGGCGTCATCGGTAGAATTCGGTACGACGTTAAAATAGCACAGAAGCATATAGGTGACAAACAGCAAATTGTGGAATAATACCGCCGCCGTCAGTTCGACAAGGTTCTGCACGGGACCTGGCAATCTGCGGAGTGCCTGTTCCAGCCACTTTGACGTCACCACCCCTTGTTTCACCTCGGTAGTCACCAGAGCATCGAATTTTTGAAGCAACGAGTCGTTGGTGTGGATACACAAATGGTTATGCGGGAACCGGTCCCACCCGGGGGGTTCGGTGGTGCCTGTTTCAGCCCCTGTGTCAGAAGATGCAATTGACTCGGGGAAGGCCAACAGGTGGACTTGACTCGGGTCGTTAGTGGTATACACCTCAGTATCCAACACCATCAAGTACTCGTCCTGGTACTGCTGCCACAGCGCTACCAGCATCTGATCGTGTAAATCAGCTGACGGGTCGGCGAGTTCGTCGTCGTGGCCGGGAGTGCTCAGCATGATGAAACGCTGGCGGGTGAATGTCACCCGGCACTTCGGGGTTAAGTTCTGCGCCAACATGGTGTCGATGGTGTTTCGCGTAAGCGGCAGCATTTTCAGTTCGACAAAGTACTGGTAAATCTCGTTTTTAGTCAGCTCGACGCCGGCGCCGCTTATATAATCCAAGAGTTTTTGTAAAATGACGGTGGGGAGGATACAGTAGGAATACTTACGTAAACCACCGGTATACGTCACTAACGTCAGCGTCTCTGCCCCTTCATGACTAATAATAAACAGTGGGTGCCGTCTGGGAGTGTCAAACAAGATGGTATAGCTCATCCGGCCCCGGGGCGCCGGCTGGGTCGGCTCGCAGTTTAGGTAAGCACTCATGTTGAGTACCAAATCCAGCACGGCAGCGTCGGAAACCAAAAAATCGAGTCGGAAATTCTTTTTGAGCAAGACAGAAACGTCAAACAGGCATTCGGGAGTTGGAGGAACTTGTTGGGGGTGGACGCCGCTGAAATCCACCGTGAATATCAGGCCGCGGCGGTCAGCGGCACTGGCACCGGCGCCATTGGCGCCACCGGCGCTCAGCCCGCGGCGGCGGGCGCGCGCGGCGCGCTGGTGGCCGCGGAGCTCACAGATAAAGTTGGCCACTTTATAATTCAAAGGCGCCACGTCCATCGTCAAAAACAGCGGCGTCGGCTTCAGCGCGTACTCCTTCATCTGCGCCACAAACTGCTGTGCCGGGGCGCGGTGGCGCAGGTGTTTCACCAACTTTTTAAAGAGCTTTTTGGTGGCGATCCGCTGGAGGACCAAGTATTTCGAGAGCAGCGAGAGCGTGTGCAGCAACGGGATCAACTGGTAGAGGATGGCGTCGAGCTGGAGGAGGCGCGGCGCCAGCGCCAGCGCTACCAGAAGGCCGTCAACAGAAGGCGCGCCCCCGGCGCCGGCGCCGGCGCCGTCGTCGAGCGAGGGCGCCGCCAGCGCCACCAGCTTCAGCCCGGCGCTGGCGCCGGCGCTCAGCAGGTCCAACACGTTCTGGTACGCCTGGTATAAATAGTACACTTTGCGCTCAATTTCACCCAACTTGGTGTACAAAAACAAGTTGACGTAGTCAAACTGCTCCACGAGCAACGCGCGGAGGGGCGCCATCAGCGCCGCCGCCGCCAGCGCCGCCGCCGCTTGTTCGTCGCTGTCGCTGTCGCTAATGGCGCCCTGGGCGCCGGCGGCGCCGTCGCTGGTGAGCTGGCGCACCACCTGCTTCGCCCGGTTGTAGTCGAGGTTGTAGGCCCGCCATTCGGGCACCGATAGATCGTCGAGGTTGCGCCCAAACTTCATCCAATCAGGTGGATGGTGTGGTTGTGTTGGAAGTCGACGGTTGGAAACGATAGGTTCAGGGAGAAAC